AAGCACCGGGTTTAAACCCGGTGCTTTGGTAAAAACCCAATAAACACCCATAAACTCCCATAATCACCCAAAAAAATAGGTTTTTACTTTTTTTTTTGAAAATATGTAAGTAATACCAATAAATTATTTTTATAAATTGTATTGATCAATTCTACAATATTAAATAAAACGTTAACTAATAATATTTCAGGAAATTTTAAAAATCTATATATAATAAAATGAAAGTAATTAATTTTCAGTGTTTTCATGTTGCAGTTGATCAACATGTTGGCCTTTTGCTTCCCGTAGATACTTTAAAATTTCTTCATAACACCTCGTTCGCACACATGGCCGTAAATATTATTTAAATTCTTTAAATTATTAAATATATTTAAATTCTTGAGCCACTAACAGTCCGAAATACTCATTTCTTTTATCCTCTTCTCCATAAATTAAGCATTTAGAACAGTTTGTTTCTTCTTTCAGTAAATTTTCTTTTACTTTATCCTCGTTTTTTTCTTTGTTGCGACGACGCTGGGTAAATCATCTGGACACTGGGTCTCACTATCGCCAAATATATTTGGAGATCGGCTTCGGCTACGGCTTGGCAGACATTTTTTTCTTTCTACAATTTTAAACTAAATTTATTAGAATAAATGCTTCGAACACACGCGATCTAAGTACCTTTTGTGTTTATTATACCTTACCTACCTAGGTATAAAAAGAGTACTTACGTAGATTTTCTTTTATTAACTGTTTTATACGAAGATCTTGATCTCTCAAATTAGCATCCATTTTACTTCCAGTGATTATCAACTAAATTAATAATCCACAAAGTATTAAATAACGTTTTTATGAAATATTTAGCACAAAAACAATACCCTTTAAATATCGATCGTCAGTAACTGTGGCTGACTTACCTATATTCTAGCAAGCAGGACTGCCAGATGTGAAGGGGAAATCCCCAATAAATTGTTGCATGTGACTGATGATGTGAGCATGTTCGTTTCATAATAAAAATGTTGCCAGGTAACCAAAAAGTCGTATGTTTTTGTGCGAATTACGATCATAATCTTTACGATCGTACATTAAAAAATAGACAAATAATAGTATGAGTACGATTTAAATCGTATATCTGTCAACCCTGCTAGCAAGACAGCGACAAAATCACGTTGCATAACAATGTAGCCCAAGCTTATATCTTATGAAATATACGGAAGAGACGCGGACTTAGAAAAAACAGAAATGTTGTTCTTTGTGGAAGTCATTGATGAAATTCTATGTATTTTAGCCCGCAAACTTTCTTCAAACAAAAACAGCGCCATCTAGTATCGAGTTCTGTAATTATCTCTTTGTTTATGGATTTGAAGTAAGACCGCCACGCATGCAATACATTATGACTGGGGATTCCCCTATTCGTCGACGCTGAATATGAGGCGACGACAATCACTGTCAAACGTGTTCACTATTACTCTGACTCTGGTAACGTGACTTCCTGGTAACGTGTTAGGTAGGAAAAGCAGTAAAAAAGTGCATATTAAGGGAGCAGATTTGAAATAATATTTATACTTAACAAGAAATAATTAAAGGTAAGTGGATTTTTGAATGATACAATTATATCATGATCACTTAACAATTTTAACTTAAAATTAGATGTATTATTACAAGCTTTTATTTAGCTTGCGTTATGTAAATAAAAGTATGTAGGTATGTTCGTATGTTGATGCAATTATCCTCAATCCTCAACCGACTGGGATAAAATTTTCCATACACGTTTATTTTGGATGATAGTGCATAGTTAGCTGAGAGTCGTCATTGGATAATAATGGTGGATAGCCTAAGATGTGTACTAGATATTTATTTTTAACATAATATGCGTAAGTACCTAATCGAATTAAAGAAGTTGCTGAGAAAAATACAGAACAATACGATAATAAACTAGCGTCTGCGTTTAATCCTCCGAGGAGATGTAATTTTACAAAGGTTTTTTGTATTTATTTTATTATTTTTTTAATAAATTTATTGTAAATAACAAGAAATAATCATTGTAAAAAAATAGGCACTCTATTGTTGAATTTTCGTCAGACCAACTAATCATCGTTCATTTTTTTAGGTTCAATGGGGAGACCTAAAGATTTACGCATATGGGAGCACTACCGTACTTTACCAAACAAGTCTGTTTCTTGCAAGCTTTGTAATAAGGTCTACAAATTCAGTAATGCTGCCAAAATGCTTCAACATCTTATCACTTGTCCAAAATCTCCAGAAACATTAAAAGACTCTATGAAACTTATAAAAGATAGCTCGTCCAAAACCAAAATGTCTGGACTGTCAGAGATAGAGACAAATGATTCTTTTATAAGCCCCTCGTCGTCTGCTAACACTACAATAAATGCTGAGTTTCAAGACACCGATGATCATATAAAAACAGAATTAGCGAGAGCTATATTTGTAACAGGGACGCCATTATCGATGGTGCAACATCCTTTATGGATACAATTTTTTGAAAAATTGCAACCAAAATTTGAAATACCTTCACGTAAAGCTTTAGCGACAAAATACTTAGATAAAATATATAGAGAAATGCGTTTTGAGTTAAATGAGGAACTAAATGCTTGTAGTTACTTACACCTTCAGTGCGATGGCTGATCTAATTTAAGAAATGAAGGAATAATAAACTTTCTTATATCAAAACCTCAACCTGCATACGTTAAAAGTTTGAATACAGAAAGTAATCCTCACACTAGTGAATACCTTAGCCAAGAAGTTGAAAAAGTAATGAAAGTGTATGGAGCAAATAAGTTTCTTGTACTTATTGGCGATAACGCTAGAAATATACAAAAGGCATTCGAATTAACAAAACTCAAATATCCACATGTTGTTCCTCTCGGTTGCTGTGCACATATCCTTAACTTGTTGTGCCAAGATATTGTAAAGATACAAGAAGTAACTGTGTTTATTATGCAAGCCATAAATATAATAAAAACTGTTAAAAGGAGTCAACGATTAAGTTCCTTGTTGATAAAATCAAGGCAGGGTGAAGATTCTACACAAACACTAAAATTGCCTTGTGCTACAAGATGGGGAAGTCATGTTACTTCGTTAAAAAGTTTGAAAGCAAATAAGATAGCTTTGCAAATATTAACAGTTAGAGAAGATGTGGTAATTTCAAGAGATATTAAAGATTTAATTCTAAGTGATGATTTCTGGACGAAGACAGGGGAATGTATAAGTATTTTGGAACCAGTCACTGAAAGCATATTTTACTTAGAGAGCGACCAGAATCGTTTGCATCGCACATACATTACATTTAGAGATGTACAAGCTAAGATACGTTTTGCATTAAATGAGATTTCGACATTGAGCGAAGAAAGCAAACAGCAGATTCTAACATCAGTATCTTCAAGATGCAATATGGCAATGAGGCCAATACATTTTGCAGCATATATTCTAGACCCCAGGACTCTAGGAGTCGAACTTACTCAAGAGGAAGAACTTAAGGGTATGGAGTTTATCTACAATTTAAGCCAACACTTAAGTTTGTCAAATGTAATGGCAGATTTGGCGTGTTATAAAGCTAAAGAAAACTTTTGGGCCAGAGGATTTGTATGGAGCTCATTAGATAGCATTGAGCCCCTAATATGGTGGAAAGGTATTTGTGGTTCCACTGAGTTAAGCAAAGTAGCGATTCGTATTCTATCAGCTCCCTGTACTTCGGCAGCCACTGAGCGTTCCTTTAGTATCCAAGGCTACATACATAATAACAAAAGAAATCGACTTACAACTGAAAGAACTGAAAAAATTTCATTCATTTGTTATAACTGGAATCTTAAACATAAAGCTGAATGCGAGGACATTCAGTTTAATGAAGAAAATACCTTAGAAGCTTTCATTGAGCAAGTAAATGAACATAACAGTTTAGACGAAATAGAGCCTATCGAACCTATACAATTCATCGCTTGTAATAACTCTGAATCTGACAGTGATTGACTGTAGTTTTACATTTTACTTTCATCTCTTTCTTAATAAACTCAAAATCAAATTAAAAGTTTTTTATTCTGTAGGCTGCATAATAATATTGTCTATGTCCAGTATAGTGGACGTCTTGCGGCTGAGATGACGATAATGAAGTACAAAATCATAAACACCCAAAAATTTGGGTGTTTATGGGGTTTAAACCCAATAAACCCAAAACACCCGGTTTTTACCCACCAGACTTTAAACCCACCCAGGTGGATTGCCCATCTCTAGTTATACCCGCTCCGTTGCACTGAATAATTTTTACTCAAATAAATACGAATAAAGATAGATAGTTGTTTGCTTGCTTAGTATTCGCTTTTTATGTTGTACGGTCGATAGCCCAGCCCAGAATCGACGCGTGGGTGGCTGGTTGGCTATTTAGTATCTACCTATCACAGATAATTCATGAAAAAAACAATATTTATATTAATTTAGCCGTGTATTATTACACAAACAAGTTTTCTGCCCGCTGCTTTGTACGCGTGAATTTCAGAAGCAGGAAAACCAATAAAATAGATTATTTCTTAATGACGTATCACGATAAAACATACACCAGATTTTATGTTAAAGGTTTAGGAACTTAATTGTAAAAATTTCTATAATTTATTGTTTCGGCTTGTGTTGGCCTTCTTTAAAAATTTATGTAATATAAGGGTTCTTGCTCCTTATATTGCATAAATTATCTTAAATATCTTTCATTTACATACATCATTTAGTTGCAATTTTATTATTTTTATATGATAAAAAATGTATTTGGTATGTACTTAACCTTACCTACTAAGTAATTAAATATATTGAATTTTAAATATTTTATTTTTTACATGTCACATTAATAAATATATAAGTGTAATAAAAAAAAAATATCAACTCGAAACCCATTGTTTTGTGTACATTAAATCATTTAACATTCTGTACGAAACATAGACCAAATATTTTTTTAAGCTTTTACATTGTTAAGATTACCTGCAAATGAATACCTACTATAGGATACATTTACTAACCTTTTGAACAACGAGAGGTGTGCCGAAGTCCTTTCCCCCCTGTAGCCGGAAGCCTAGCGGCTGCTGGTCGGATTTGTTGAGACGCACAGTGATTAACTGTGCCATCTGTTAACAATAAAAGATAACATTCTAAAAAAAAATGCGACAATATTAAGGCAGTTGTAGAAGTAATAATAACAATGAACAGAGGTTGAATTATATGAAATAAATTATGAAACAGAGTTGTATATCTTTCTTAAATTAGTTGTTACTGGATCAATAATATTAATTATATGAATATTCTTTATTAATGAGAGCTTTTGTAATTTACCGAAGGCACATTATCATACTATACTTACTGTAACGATATATTTAACTAGCAGATCAGCAGAAATTATGCAATCGTATGGAAATGCCATTATTTTTTCCCCGCGATCTTGTGAACGTCCTCTGCATAACGATATCGTGGACGTGCATGGAAATTTAAAATGGCACCATACGATTGCATATGTTTTACTTTTTTATTATACCTATCGTGACGATAAAATTGTACCGTTCTGTAATACAAAGTCCATTTTGTATACAAATTAGGCACCTTTATGTACTATATAGTTTAAATGCACCAGTAAGGTATTGTCTTAAATACATCTATTTTGCATATAAGTAAATATTTATTTAGACTGCTTAATTAATATACTAAATTTTTGGTCAAATTCAAATATTCAGAAACAAATATATACACCCGTAAAGACAGTAAAAACCCGTTTCGATCCCTTAAAGAATGAAAGTGGAAAGTGAGCCCAAATAAAAGCACGATTAAGTATTGCGCCAGAACATTAAGCCTGGCATTTGATCGACCCAATTGAAGATTTATTTTCTCTCGGGCCAGCCTCGTTGCGCTGACCGTACACCCGTACTCCACTCAGTGAGTATTCAGACGTCGTGTGATTTATTTTATCACAGATCAAGATCTAAGTGCGAATCAAAAGACATTAGTGAAAGGAGGCTGAGAGCAAAACTTTCGTTTATTTATACAAGGAATAAACAATAATCAAATTACTTATCGGTTTTCATGGTCTTGATTCTATTCTAAGATACCATAAATTTGATTAGCTAAAGAATTCCCAGATAAAATCTTTCGACATCAACAATACAATCTTCGCTCTTTCGTAATCGGAAAAATAACGGTCCACCTACTTAATGTCCAGTCTCCAATCCTCCATAAATTATAGATAGGTGTTAATTGAACATGTTGTTATCGATTATTATCAATTCGTGTCTTTACTATTAAAATGTTACAGAATATTATTTATAAGTAGTTTTATGAATTATGATTATAGCGTTTAGATACCTAAAAAAATTTCGTCTTAATCAAGTTTTAATTACTGTTCAATTAATAGAATAAATAAAATTGAGCTAATAACCTTTTTTTTATTTTAGTAAGTAGGTACTCGTGTAACTATATAATATACTTATCTACGTATATTATTTTAACGTTATGAATCGTACATCGTAAGAAAAGTGTGTTTCCTCGAATGTAGAACCATAAAATATTAATATATTAAAATTGTTGTTACAAGTCATACATGTCGCGATACATCGACACCAATCAAGAGGTCACGGCACTCTTTAGCTGACACTACACTACTTCATCAGTTCAATTCACAATAAAATGTCAAGTAACGTTACTGTACTTTCAATATTTTTTATTTTGTTAACATATTAACTAACATAAATTTCATGTAGAGACCAAAATGAACTTGCTTCATATTTACAACTTTATTGTCTAAAGCTAAATGAGATCTGACTATATAAGTATATACCTACCTATTTGGAGACAGTTGCATTATAATTTTTTGTAGCTATACTTACTTAAATAGATACATATATAATAAAGAACAAATATATTGTGTACCTTATTAAATTATGTGTAATAGGATACAGGCTGAAATACGAGTACAATTTCCCCAAGAACGAAGAGTACGAAAATATTGTAAACCTTTAATTCCTTAATTTATATATATATATATATATATATATATATATATATATATATATATATATATATTATGTTCCTTTAGGAAAATCATTTAGTTTCTTGAAAATTACTGGATTTCAACTTATTATATCCTAATCTATAATAAGTATTACTCAAGATTTACATTAAGTTACTATCAATACATTGTATGTATTGAAAGGCTAATATTATTCATAAAACTTTGTTCATGATTGTAAGTCATTTACTTATCTGAAGAATGCTCTATGAAGAGATTAAGTAGCTACATATACGTACAGTTTCGTTAAAAAATAATCAGACAATATGGGGTACCTAATGAGTTTTTTATCAAAAGTTATAGAACAACATAACACTAGTCATCGCTTTCTTTAAAGATCGACTAGTCTACGAGGGCATAAACTCCCTTTACAGACATTATATAGGTCTGTTGTTCCTTGGCCCATTAGCAAGACGATTACGCAAATACCATCAGGATGCAAGTAAATAGATATTCTTTATTATCCTCTACAATAAACTCCGGTAGATTTTTTATTTTACGACCCACATTTAGGTGTGAATGAAATAATAGAGTTTATTGTCCTTAATAGATACCTTAAATATTTAAGCTCAGCTAATGTCCTAATACTGATCTAATTTTGGTATGGGAATTGTTCGTGTAAGTATTTGGACGCTTATCTATGCATGACATGCAAATTGAATATGCATTCACTTCAGTTGCAACATTGATAGGACTTGATCAATATTTACCATAGATAAGAATTCCTTTTTACTGACAACAACATTTAAACAAAGCATGAGGGTTTGCCAAGTAGTTACCTGCTAAGTACGCAATACAATAAGGACCCATGGATTGCGTAGTTGAGTTTAGTGTGACCTCGTAGTAAGTACCAATTGATGTCAGGCGTAAGTAAAAAGCTATGGTAAACATGATGAGTCGGTTTAACCAAGCCCATCTTGTATCGTATTTCACCACTCGATGAATCAATGTCTGAACAACAACTTTTTGACGATTATATTGTTACTCGAGTCAACGCATGACTTCTTCGAGTTGACATGATTTCTTTGATTTCCTCGAAACAAATCCGTATTATGTAAATGTGCGTGTGGTGTTTCCTCAAATAACCATTCGATTTCATCGTCATAACTTAGTCATATGTTAATCGGTGACGTCACTCATGTATGACTAACCACAAGAAACCGCGTCCACTGCAATGCTTAAGCTTATCTTGCTCGGTGATTGGGTGAAATTGAAATTTCTTTGTAGGTACGATGACTGGCACTGGGTCATAATACTCGTAAGCTCTGAAGTAGTACACAATTTGTAAAGCAAATAAAATTTACCTATGAATATTCAATGAAACACATCGACCAGTGTTTTACTACATAGATATAAAATATAAGCTTCTCAGATCCGTTAATCTCTGTTTAAAATTTTAAATTAAGCTTAAAAGCTATCATATCACTATGAGAATAGAGAAAGTAAAACTTTTAAGAACTAATTAATCATTTTTGTCGTCTACAACCAGTTTTAAAACATTTGATATATGGGCAATTAGCTATGATGCTTGGAACATACTATTTATATACAAACTAATTGATTAATGGCAACGACTTTTTTTAAAATAAAATTTCTTTTACGGTATGTTAAAGATCTTGTATGCTAAATATACATATTAATATAATGAAATTGTAAGCAGACGACGTATGTACATAGTAGATATTTAAAAAAAAATATATATAAGAAGTTTTAATAAAACTAATAAGATGCCAAAGCAATAAATTTTAGAAATTTTGTTTATCATCTGTCTGTATGTTTGTTTCGGTATTCCGCAAAATCTACTAGACTTTACACTAAATTGAATGCACATTTCACAGTTGAGTTTCTGAAGGTCTAACTTAAAATCTGATAGAAAGACTGATAACGTCTTTTTTTTCATCAATAGATACACAAAAATTGTGAAAATAGTAAAAAAAAATACTGTTTAACATAAGGGCGATATACACAAAAATTTTATACATAACATAGTACATAAAAATGTAATACTCGTATATTTTTAATGAAATATAATCTAATTTACGTTTTATTTTGATACACCATCTAAAAGTGGTTTATTTCATTGGTTTTTTTAATTCCAAATCTACACGTATGAAGTAAATAGTAAGTCAAGTTACTAGAAGATATTTTATTTATACTAAGTATGATGTTACTTGACTACGCAAAACGACTCTATATTTTTCCATTTAAGTCTACTTTGATGAACCCAGGATAAGGACAAACTTTATTAAGCGTTATGGTAAATTTGCGTCTTTATTTACTTGGTTTAGTCTTAAAATTTTCTTCCCTTTGAGTTACGAGGATAAGGGCAATCAATGAGTATGTGAAATCAGCTGCCTATCATTTAAATAATACAAAACTTGAGAGAGCAATGCTGACTTTGAAAAAGACGGTACAAGTATATCCCATCATATTCCCACAATTGGATATAGGTTTCTCCCTCTCTCTTTCTCCCCCCCCCCCCTCCATTTCCGTCATCAGATGTTATTTTATGCGATTGTTTATTTTAAAACTAAATTAGACTCACCTGACGCACGAATTATATAATGATGGCAATATACCTACTACCCAAGTGGGAGCTAAATCAGCTGAAAGCATTCTGGACTTCCGTCGGTGTGAAAAGTAGAATAAATATCGATTGAAATTACTAATTAAAAAATCATATGTATTATCATGTATACTACAATCAATTCTAGGATAGCGGAAATTTATATGGGATACAATGCGTGGGATCCATTCTACAATACAAAATGGAATGGAATGTTACCGTTAGTATATCACTCACTCGAAAGAATCCATTTTTTTATTTCGTAACTAGGTACGTACTTGCTGGCTTACTTACAAATGGTTTGGCCTTGCCACCATAGGTAATATAAAGAAAATTTGTGGTCGTAAAAAACTCGTAACGTATACCGACTATTTTTTAAAAAGTTTTTTTTTAATTCATCACTGTTTCCATATGTGAATTACCTTTGTCTTCGCCAATTCCATAATTACTTCAATGAATCTTATGAAATCAATAGGATTTATTCCCGTATTGGTCTGTTATTAAAT